TTTAACGTATAAGAGAAAATTTTAGAAAGGACTTAATTTTAAATGAGTTCTTGCTAATTGACCAGTATTACATATTCGGCACGACATATATATATATATATATATATATATATATATATATATATATATATATATATATATATATATATATCCTTACTTTCCTCTCTCCCTTCTGGCCTGCCATTTTACCCTCCTTTCCCCCCTTCCCTCCCTCTGCCTCTCCCTTCTCTTCCCCCTTCCCCTCCCTCCATGCTATCTCCCCGTGTCCCAGAGGCGCTGCACGTAATACACATCTAATCTGGGAATGCAAATCGTGTCGCAAGCCCAGCACCTCCTTCTCCCTCATCTGCATGTGTGATGAGTCGCTCACAAGACACTCATGTGTGATGAATCACTCACAAGACACTCATGTGTGATGAATCACTCACAAGGCACTCACGTGTAATGAATCACTCACAAGACATTCATAAGTGATGAATTTCTCAAAAGAAGATATAAGCAGGGTTTTCTAGTGGGCAGTTGAGAACACCATGACGTTCAATGGTGGTAAGTTTCGAGAGGATTATATATAACTACAGGCACACGTGAAAGACCTGGGAGTAATTATATCGGCTGACCTGTCTTTCACAGAACACAAGGCAAATGTCACGACAGTCAGGAAGATGATCGGGTAGATAATGAGGACTTTCAAGACAAAGGAAATAGCATGAATGATGATAATTTTCAAATCACTTGTGCTCTTTCGTTCAGAATATTTTTCAGTGTTAACGGCATAGTTCAGGGAAGGAGAGATATTAGAGCTAGAACAAATACAAAGATAATTTCCTGCCCCCATAGCTAGCAAAGCATTTAAATTACTGGGAACGCCTTAAAGACCTAAATATGTACTCACTGGAGAGGAGGAGAGAGGAAGAGAGAAAGAGATGCATGATAATGTATTCCTGAAACGTACTTGAGGGCCTTGTCCAAATCTGCACACTGCCATAACAACATACTGGAGCCAGAGATATGGGAGGAAGTGCAAAACAAATCCAGTGAAAAGGAGCGCTGTGGTAAGAAAACATTGTATCAACATGTGTTGCCTCAGACTATTCAATATATTACCAAAAGATATCAGAAACACTGCTGGGAGAAGTGTAGAAGTCTTCAAGAGAAAACTGGACAAGCCTCTTCTCCAGGTGGCAGGTCAACCAGGCTGTGACGGATTATATGGTCGAGCGGGCCGTCAGCAACTGCTTAATTAACCAGGCAAGCACCTGACGAGCCTGTCACAGAGTCCGGACTCTGGAAGTAGAAAAACTCTCGAAACTTATCAAAGGTAAAATGTTTGTGTAGCCGTTAGGTTCTGACTCCCACTAGCCACCCAACTACTATGATACTTCTCTACTTCACCTTAATTATAAAAACATACGCACACAAATTTATAAGTCTTTGTGATAACGTTATAACAAGTTCTCTCTACAACTATTAATACTACCATCCGAATGTTCCACTTCCATGATAATTTTTTTTTATATTTTATTTAAAAGACATACATAGTACATAAAAGCAAACGACAAATTACATAGCGAAAACAGTGGTGAAAAAAAAAATTCATTACACACTTCAGTTACAACAATACGTCTTACAATATATGTTACAAAATTCTTCATAGTACATGTACTTTCCAATTGATAGGGTACATCTGAAAGACACAAATCTGTACAGTAAACAATGACCCTTCCAAACCTTGGAGTAATGACATTATGCCTGGAACACTAAATCTAACCTAACAACCCCTTGACAGGTACAACTAATTCCTGATTGTACGTCCTGCCACGGAGTGTACACCTTACATTCTGAACACACTAACCCCCCTTCCTTTTCTTTCATCATAATTATCTTAATTAACGAATTATTACTAAAATATTATCTCAAAATCAGACCGATGTCACTCGCTGTAATCCGAGTTCTTGAGTGACACTGGCTGCTGCACCCGTATCTGCTATCTGCGTATATCAGACAAACTAAATTTAGTCTCATTACTTATAAGATTTAAATATCACACTACATGCTCAACGAACTATGATTATCACGTTTATTTTTGTCCGTCAGAGAGAATGATAATAATATGTTTATTTTTACAATTACGTGTACAAGGTATACAGGCCTACTTGACACAGTACTATATAGAAAGCCGCTTGTTATGCAAAGTATTTCGAGCAAATTAGGTCAATTTTGTCCCAGGATGCGACGCACACCAGTCGACTAACACCCAGGTACTCATTTTTCCTTGAAACATAGCGGACTAATATTACATACAGGAATTGGCAAGTCATCTACCAGTCGACGCCTCTGTTACAGCACTAATTGTTTGGGCGCGTGTATTCATTCATAAGCAAATTCTGTTTACTTCCTTGAAGAGTTACCGCCTCTCTCTATCGGCAGTAATTCGCCTCTTGTTCCGTGTTGCTGACTGTACATGCATACATAAGCACTTATATATGCCCACATATCCATACGAACATTCAAGCATAGGCGTTCATACACACACAAATAAAATACACATATTTGAACATTTTTCGACGTCAGCTTTTTTACGACCTTGTACTAATCGTGGCGCGTACATTGAGGTGCTAGAAGCTGGTGTTATCACACACCGGGATATATATGGGTTCACGCAGAAACAAGTTGATGAATAAGACACATGTGAAACAGTTAAGTGTCTTTATTGTTGAAACGTTTCACCTATGCAGTAGGTGCTTCAGTCAAATACCAAGGTAGTAAAATGAAGATATAATCAGTCCATCAACCCTGGAGATGTGCAAGACTGGTATACAATACCGACAAGATGAAAGTTAAGACACTTGTGCAACATCTGGTTACCTTTATTGTAGACGTTTCGCCATCCAGTGGCTTTATCAATACAAATTCTTGGACATAATAAGAAAAACGAAGAACTATATACAAAAGATGAGGTAATCAGTCCCTCGGCCTTGGAGGTGGTGTTTAGAGCACCGTGGTTGTAGAGATTCTGAAGCACAGGCAAGGAGACTGGCGCTTATATAGGCGTCAGTGAAAGGGACGTGTAGCAGACGAAGGCATAGTCACTGGTAGGCGGGATTCCCCAGTGGAAGTAGGTCCTTCCCAAATTGATGGGCTAGTTGTAGAAGTCTTGAAGAAAGTCATGTAGATGTCCTCTGAATCAAGATACCATGATGTTGCAGTGCCTGCAAGAACTTCTACAACTAGCCCATCAATTTGGGAAGGACCTACTTCCACTGGGGAATCCCGCCTACCAGTGACTATGCCATCGTCTGCTACACGTCCCTTTCACTGACGCCTATATAAGCGCCAGTCTCCTTGCCTGTGCTTCAGAATCTCTACAACCACGGTGCTCTAAACACCACCTCCAAGGCCGAGGGACTGATTACCTCATCTTTTGTATATAGTTCTTCGTTTTTCTTATTATGTCCAAGAATTTGTATTTATAAAGCCACTGGATGGCGAAACGTCTACAATAAAGATAACCAGATGTTGCACAAGTGTCTTAACTTTAACCCTGGAGATAAAGTATTTAAAGTGGTCGATCCCTCAGCCTGGAGAGGAGTTCTCCAGCTGTATAAAGGATTGCATTATACTACTTTTGTGTTTATTTTTTCCATCGTGACGGGATTTTATACTATTTATCTCCAAGATGAGGTATTCTCAACTTTTTCACTTACAGATGATTGTAAAATTTAGTTGTGTAAACTGACTTCTGACAACCCACTGAGCTTATTACTGATAATTAACGAAGTGTGAAATGAACCTAGAAAATAAACTTAAAATGAATTGGATATTTCTTTTAACGTGTTCTCATTCGGTCACTAAAATACGGAAAATGTTTTAAAACATAACGTATTTGCAGGTGTCTTCCTTACAGAACCATGTGATTTGTTTGTTGGGATTTTCTCTCAACCCCACATAATGTGTTTCCAAGTAACGTGTTTGATGGAGCCTTAATCTTACACCCACGTTATGTTTGATGAAGCCTTCCTCCCACACCCACGTTATGTTTCATGAAGCCTTCCTCCCACACCCACGTTATGCTTCATGAAGCCTTCCTCCCACACCCACGTTATATGTTTCATGAAGCCTTCCTCCCACACCCACGTTATATGTTTCATGAAGCCTTCCTCCCACACCCACGTTATGTTTCATGAAGCCTTCCTCCCACACCCACGTTATATGTTTGATGAAGCCTTCCTCCCACACCCACGTTATGTTTCATGAAGCCTTCCTCCCACACCCACGTTATATGTTTGATGAAGCCTTCCTCCCACACTCACGTTATATGTTTGATGAAGCCTTGCTCCCTACCCACGTTATATGTTTCATGAAGTCTTCCTCCCACATCCACATGAAGTATTTAATGGAGCCTTCCTTTCTAGCCCACATGACATGTTTGCTCGAATTGTCATCTCAACAAAGAGATATGTACACTGAGATGTGTGTATATATGCTAAGAGTTTTCTTTAATCTCTACTTTCGGGATTATTCTTGACTAGTGGTGTAACAACTACACACAGTCTTAATGATTCTCGTGTAGTCGAGGGTCTTGAAACCCATTTACCGAAGCAATGAACCTTATTCCTACATTTACACGTAATGTATATTTTTTTAGACGAATAATTATATTTTCTAAACTGAAAAATCATCCTTAGCAGACATAACAACGATATTGAAGTTCAAAGCTTTTGGAAAAAATTCAGAACCAATTTCAAATATAGGAAAGAAAGGCATTGAAGATTAACCACAAATAAAAAAAAAATCTAGGAAAATCTTTCGTAGCGTGTTTTACTGTTTTCTTGATGCATATATACATGAGTGTTGAGCAGTATTTACCATAAATAAAATAATAATAGTCGACGACAAGGATCAAGAGAGTCGAGGTATCGACTCAATAAAATGCTCATGAACAACGGATCTTCGAGACGAAGCTTTTTGGAGCTCCGTGTCAACAGTGTGTCAAGCGGCGCATCAGCTTGAGGATGGTCGTCAACCCGCAATGCTGTAAATTAACAAGAAGGTTTTTATATACATATACAGAGGTGCGTAGTTGCGTGTTTCTCAACGTTTACACCGAGATGTATGTCTGCATGTACATTGAGAGATGTGAATATTTGTATATATAATGAAAAATGTATATCTCTGAATGCTTATACAGAATGAGGAATATATTTAAGTTGTACAAGAGGCGTGTATCTTAGTATTCATATACAGAATTTACTTTTATTCTCATTTCAAAAGTTAAAAGCATTCTTGACTGGAGATACACAGGTGACACAGCCTTAATGAACCTTTGTAGTTACCAGGCTATATATAAATCAAATAACCCAACAATCCAACTAACAAACAAGGATACCTAGATCGCATAAGCATTGAATTCAGTTATGCGTGTGCCAACACCGCATTCTCGCCTCGATGTATGTAACCTCTGCCTCTTCAGCATGGTTATGCGTGTACCTCTGGAGTTAATGAGGCAAGTGTGTCCTTGGGAGTTGCCGTTGTAACCAATGTACATAGCATCGCCTGGTGTCAGATGTTAATATTGAAACGGTAATAGTAATTAGTAATGCTAGTGCTTACAACAGCGTTTGTTCAGAATTTCTTGTTCATGGAAACTCAAATGTTCAACAGTTGTGCTGATAAAAATACCGTTGATAAATAATGGTCAAGAAAAGTGTTGCTAATAAGTGTTGCTAGAAACTCGTGCTAATAAGTGTTGATAAAGATATTGTTAAGGAAAGTGTGTGTTGCTTGAAAAAAGTTGATAAAATTATTGGTAACTAATTTTAAGTGTTGCTGACAAGTAAATGTTCATGTCATGAATGTTCATGACCAATGTTGAGGTCAGGTTATAATTTAGTAGGAGTTTCCTTCGTTACACCTGATTAAGTTCGGAGAAGTTGGTGGGCCCCAGAGCCACCTGGACCCTGGCACCACCTGGACATTGGCACCATCTGGCCCACCACCACCTGGCTACGCAAGTCATCCACGCATAATCTACCGTCATGGGAAGGTGAGTTTCATATTAGACGGTGGGATGACAGTGGTAATCTTTGTCCACTGTACAATGAGAACTATTTTCCGTGGTTTAGTAAAATATAATAAATCAGTGTGCATATTATAATGAAGACAGCTGATGAAGGATGGTTAAAGTGATATGAGCTTGTAGAGGGGCTGGAGAGGCATACATAAACGAAGAGTTGTAGGGTTTAAGGTAGGGGAAGGAGTCGTGCTAGGAACGGTTGGAGGAAGGGGATACAATAGGCTTTCAGTTTTAGTGAGCTAAGCATCCTTCAGGCTTGTGTGAGCGTGTTAGGAATGCATGGAGGCGATTTTTTTTTTAATGAACATGTTTTCAGAGTGAGAATAGTAACGTTTATGAAGGGTTTCAGGAAAGCCAGTTAGCCGGACTTGCGTCCAGGAGGTGGGAAAGGCAATACCTGCCTCCTGAAGGAGGGGTGGGTGTTACGACTTTGGCTCGCGTAACTTAAAAAGTTCTGACTCCTAAAGGCTGCTCACCCTGCTGTCTAGGGAAATATTACGAAAAGCAACCACTCTAGGGCCAGTATGTATCTTCATACCAATTATGAAGTATAAATTTAAAAGGTCAGTATGAAGGACGCAAAAACTCGTCTGTACAAAAATATATATTAATAGTAACGTACATAAAACCTAACGTAATGTACATAACGTACATAAAACCTAACGTACATAAAACCTACAATCTACTACATCACCTTTTACTCTGCTCACTGCTATTAGTATCACAAAATATATAAACCTTTGCAAACAGGGAGGTTCCACGACCCCCCCCCCCATCCCTCGCCCCGTCTTCTGCCGGTCTGTCTACCAGCAGGCAAAAACACAGAGTGCTCTCCCACAAAAAGGCCTCTGCACACTAGGGCTTTACAGGTAAACATGAAAGTACTTGAACACAAAATGACCTAAGGTATAAACTAGCCCCCCCCCCCCCAAAAAAAAAAAAAAAAAAAAAAAAATCACGCCTACTTAAAGCAACGCCAAACCATGACTTCTCCCAGCCGCCGCTCTTCTACTGCCCCACAAACACCTCACCTGCTCCTCTCTCCTGGTCACTCTTCCTGACAAGGAAAAATACGCTTCCTGTTTCAGTACATTCCCGGAACTATGGAAAATTATTTTATTTATGCAAAATATTTTTACTGCAGCACACTGTGTAACAATGGAGATGCTGCACTCGTAATCTGCTGTGGTTTCAGCACACTTCTGGAAAGACGGCGATTGAATGATGGCGAATGTGTTTTTTTTCCTTGGGTCACCCTGCCTTGGAGATGAAATAGAAAAATGCAGGATTTATGCAGAAAGTGAGTATTGAAGCAAGGATATCACCATACATGCATGGGTTAAGTTGAAAATAACATTCGGGCATTACTTCAAGACAAGCACAAATCGTACCGTATTTTCCTGCATATAAGGCGCACGAATGTCAGCTGCATGTGGCATTGTTTCCACGCAGTTGTAATGTTAGTAAACAACTGCTGAAGTGTAACCAAAAGCTTAACCTTCACCCTGACCTTGAGCATATAAGGCGCAGGGTGATTTTGCAAGTGTTTTTGTGAGAAAACCCGCGCCTTATATGCCGGAAAATACGGTATTTCTCGCCTAATAAGCGCGATTTTCAACCCATTATCAGCTGCTCCATTGGTCGTACTTATTCCCCAAAACGCTTATCACAAATTAACAAAATGCCCAAACCTATTCTAAATAAATGTTTTAGAAAAACATTTAAAACTCTAACGGTATAAGTATAAATTTCACTCTACCTTGGTGGCTAATCTAGCATGTTGGAATCCTATTTATGCAGATAAGTTAAACAACTAATATCTTCAGCGGAGAATAGATTATTCTGGAGGACGTTTCTTCAGGGTGCGAACTGCAGAGTATAACTGGAGATGCTTGCTGAAGTTGCAGGTCAAAGGGTATAACTGGAGATGCTTGCTTGAAGTTGCAGGTTAAAAGATATAACTGGAGATGCTTGCTTTAGTTGCAGGTCGAAGAGTCTAATTAAAGATGAGATTCTTGTATTATATATTTTTTTAAGAATTAACAAGTGCAAAAGTTGAATGTTCTGTATATCCCTCTAACGTTTGTATATTCATGAGTTGGTATTTATCTTTCAGGTAAGTGAAAGCTAACTCATCGCGGGACAGTTGGCTCACCATCAGGAAGGTAAGTTCGTTTTTATCACCGGTTGTCAGGGCATTGTTTCAAGGATTAGCACGTATAAGAATAGCAATGAGGACTAAAAGAATTAGTTGACAGTATAGGAATAACGGTGAGATATACTCATTCCACTGTCACAGAAGGCCTTAGGTCCTCCCTAACCAAGAGGTCATAAAAATCACTCTCCCAGATGTGGATATCGAGGACTCAAATGTTTTTGCCTTGGTCAAGACCTATCTTGGTTTCCGCGTTTACGGTAACTCCCCATCTGTGGTTAATGTACCCTGTCCCTCCTATAACTCGGGTACATTAAAGCCCTTCGGTGAATTAAAATGAAAGTCTACAGCCTAAGCAACTCAGAGCGGTAAACACTGTTCAGAGCGAGATGACCAAAATTCAATCTTCGGTTCTGAAAAGTGATTATCAAACAATATCACATAATTAAATCTTGGATAAAAACTGTGATATCAAAAGAAAGCTTCGTGATCCAAATGCTTCCTATACCTACTTAGGGACGTGCATTGATATCGTGAGGACGTTTGATCCAAGGAAGGTATACCATCCTCTTCCTTGGATCGAATCTGAATTTTTACCCCATTCCATGAGCACTCCCTTCTATTATAAAAGTAATCCACACCCTGACAGATCAGAACAAAGCACAATAATCAGGGAAAAGCATCACAAAAATCGGAGTTTGTGCGAATTGTTAAACACTAAACGTTTGAATTCGGTGCTCGTTAGTGGGGCAGATATGTGAAAAAATATGTTCAGATCGCGCAGCAAACATCAAATATGGTATACATGGGTTTAATCCAAAAATAATGGGAGATATTTGATCCGACCTTTGTGTGCGTGCGCGCATATATATATATATATATATATATATATATATATATATATATATATATATATATATTATATATATATATATATATATATATATATATTATATATATATATATATATATATTATATATATATATTTATATATATATATATATATATATATATTCATTTTTTAGTACCAAGGCATGGCGAAAATTGTACGTTAATCACTACCTTGTATTAAGTCGTGTTATCCTTCCCTTGATATCTTCTTAATTGTCTCAAGATATGTTTATAACAATCTAATTGACAATGATCCAAGTGAGGCCAACCCGGGGGAAAAGGGGTGTTCACTAATTACTAGAATGGTTATAAGTTATGTTTTAATAGTTCGTTAAGTATTGTTCTTTATCCTGTTCCAGTATTTTTGTCATATTCGACATAATTTGCTGGAATGACATGATTAAGATGTTTTAAACATACCTTTCTTAAGAGGAGCATTACTTCTTGGCACACTCGAATCGTAAATAGATTTTTTTTTCTCTTTAGGAAGGTATTTGTAAAACAGTGTTTGTGCTTTATACGCTCTGTGTTTATGCTCAAAGAAATACTAGAGGGGTGAATTAGAGAATGTTACAGCTGCTGTGTTGGAGTGTCTTAATATCTTGACAAATATTCGAATAAGATTTGTTAAAGAATTGTTTCAGGTTTGCTTCAACTTTTGCATTCTTGAAGTGAAGACAAATTAAGAATGGGACTAAAGTAGAGGGATTAATTGTCTTAATTTTTCCATTGAAAATTCTATGACGTGCAGTTTGACAGATGCTCTGTATTGGAATAAGAATATAAGACATTTATATAAATGATTCATATGTATTCCTATATTTCCCTGTTATCATTGACAGAATACAAGTGCATAGCATTTTTTACAGCATCAGTGCTAACGCAAAACTGTTAATATATAACTCGAACACATTCTGTGCAAAATGTTTAAACAGATGCCCAATGATGGCGAATCACAATCTACCTGATCACATAAGGTTCATTATTTGTCTTAAAAGTGTTAATTTATCTAAGTAGCACAGCTGAGTAAAAGTTGAATCGGTTATGAAATATATGCATATTCCACTGCAGTTGTTTGTCTTACAGATGCACTTGACTCGTTCCCAACAATCCTTTGATGCTTCTGGCAGAGTGCTCAGAGAGGTACCCAGCTGTCTTCATCTCGGGCACAGCCTCAGTTTGAAGAATATGGAACTGCAGAACTAGAGATCAGGGTTTACCCCCACATGATGCACTGTTGAACCTCTGCTTGGTGGAATGTTTTCTAGTTTGTGATTGCCAAAGGTAGAGAAACTCCTTGCTTCATTGATTTATTTAAATATCGACACACGGCTGTAGAGGAGAGAAACAAATTTGTTGCAATTTCATGTTTCCATCAACATGATCTAATGGTTGACACAGCCTGCTAAACATAATTTTCAAGGTCATTGGTAGACTTTCACATTTCCCATGCTGTCTCCTTCCCAGCCCCACATAGCTCAGTGTCACCACCAGATACAGCATACAGGAAAGCAAGTCCCCTTGACCGTTCTGTACCTAAACTTTCGTAATGTCGCTTGTGAAGCGACATTCCGAAAGTGTATACCGTCACCAAAGGCCTCTTATATCTCAGTTGAGCATTCATATTGTTGCCGTTGCAAGAACATCTGTGTTTGACCTGATAAACGGTACGCTAGTAGCCTTGCTGGTAGGACATGGGCAACATGTAGCATCAATATGCTGTCTGCTTCCTCCTAGGTGCAGGGTTCTAGTTAAGGGGAATATGCAGTACTCTTTATTGATGGTACTGGCTACTTTACTTTGTATTCCGATGCATTGCTCATAATTTTGAACAGTTTTATTATGTCTCATTCTACCTGTTGGAGAGATTTTCCATTTGCTTAGTATTCTTGTATTGAAATTAACCCGTAAAGTCTCTCCATTCTCTAGCTTATGATTTCAGTCTGTCTTGTTTGTAGGTCTTCCATAGCACGTCCGGTCTAGCCACGAGGGCTAGTTGTCTTCCTCTGGGTTGGAAAAACACTTTCAGAATACTCATCAAATATTTTTATTTGTATTATCAAACTTTGTATTAACCCTTTTAGGCGATTCATATAATCGGATTTGCTCCCTTGTACATTTTTTTTTTTCCAGAAATTGAGGTCATGGCTAATTCTCGTGTTGAAAATTTAAGTGTCCGTCCCCTACTCTTTACTGGCATATGTGCAGCTTTTCGCAACATTGTACGTTGGTTCAGAATGTTCATTCTTAAACACAAACTCACTCACTCACTCGCTCACTCACTCACACTAGTGCCCCTCCCTTATTTACAAATAATACACATCATGAAACATTTGTATTTCTGGCAAACGATAAATGTCAGATAAAATATTTCAGTTCGAAATATGATAAAAATAAAACAAGCGACGATGGATCTACCACCTGAAACAATGACTACTTTTGTTCACAGAAGAAGTGCTTCGATGAGGAATGAATTTTTTTCTCCAAGAAGTTTCATTTCCGCATAAATCGTTGAAACAAATTTGCAAAATTATACGCAAGAATATCAAAACTATTTTTATCTCTAATTTACTTCTCTTAACCGGATAAAATGTTTGAAACATTCTATTACTATACAACAAATGAAACTTAAAAATCAATTTCAAACTGTTCCGTGTGACTGGGAGATCCTGCCTGTTTATATTTTTGCACTGACTGGTTCTCACTGTGCCACACAAATCGACTCCACTACTGACTTTTCCTCTGGTCGTCGCCATTGGAAATGGGATAAAATACCGACACAAGGGAAAAATAAACACATAAGCAGTATAATATGAACCTTTATTGACAACGTTTCGCTATGGGGACTAGTTTTATTGCAAACCTTTGCACTTCATCTAGTGTGGGCGAAACGTTGTCAATAAAGGATCACATTATACTACTTATGTGTTTATTTTTCCCGGTCGTCAGGATGGAAAATCCGACGAAAAGGCACAAATCGTGACTGGAACAATACACAAAAAACTCGAGACGTATAACTAGTTATACTTGTTAATGGTTCAAATCTGATCTAAACGGCGTCATAAATTTCTTTCTCCTATATGCGGGTTTTCTGTGTATGGAAAAATCTGACTAAACGCGTTCTATTTGTAAAAGGAAATAAAACACTCAACTTGTACCTATTCTTTACCAAATACTATTTCCAAATAATGGCTTTTAGGCTACTCGGTATCTTGTGTAATTTTGGATGTTGTGCTACGATATTAATGAGAGAGTGAGTGAATATTCATCAGTATATTTTGCTAAGAATAGAGGAACAGTTTTTGAGCGAGAATACAAAATTTAAAAGGTAAGGGAGCATATGAACTTGACCGTTAAAAAAAAACGAAAGCGGAAATTACTTAGATGGGGAGGTGAGGGTAACGGAAGAGTAAAGAAAATAATTTGAGTAACTGTCGTATGTTAATAAAAGGTAGGCAGTGATGTAATGCACTAGGCAGAGATGAAGAACATCTCAAAGGTGGATTGAGAGGGAAGTGCTTGAGGCAGTTCTTGAAATGAGATGAAGGGGGTTAAAGAAGCTGGGACAGAAGGGGTTTAGATGGAGATGTTAAAAGCAAGTAAGTACTTCTAGTATTTTGTTCACAAAATACTAAAGTATGACTTACAAAATCGTAATGACACGATTGCAAGCAAACCATACCACGGGTGGGGTTAGAACCCGCGATCAGTCACAAAACTACAGGCTGTCGCGTTAGCCACGACCAGCTAGCTTCAATAAGATTCATCCAACTAGGTATATTTGTAGACCATAGGAAGGTTAGCATACGCACCAGTGTGACCACAAATGCAAGTTTTTACAGACGAATCTCCCTCTAGCATGGCCATGACTTGAGCTAGAGTTCGTCACGGCCACGCTAGCGGGAGACTCGTCTGTAAAAACTTTGATTTCTGGTAACAGTGGTGCCTATGCTAACCTTCCTATGGTGTAGAAATATAGTTGGATGAATCTTATTGAAGCTAGCTGGTCCAGTGGCTAACGCGACGGCCTGGAGTCTAGTGACTCTGATCGCGGGTTCTAACACCACCCGTGGTATGGTTTTTTTTATGCTAAAAGTAAATCTAAAACACCAGCACAGGATCAGGATTTACATAGAGCAGAGGACTTTCCTTCCCAGATTTAAAGCTTTACTTCAAGACCTGTCATGCTCACTCCTTGACCTGTCTTCCACGCACTCGCCTAACGATCCATGCCCACCTACACGGTTGAGAAGAGCAACCTTAATATAAATTCATGTTTTGTTTGTGTATCTGCTGAAGAGGACCCCAGCAGGGGACTCGAAATTTACAGATGGGTTAGTATCTGGGTTACTGAGCGCAAGTAATTAGTTCTTCATGGAGGACACACGCCCGCACACAGATTCACTGTTGGGTTCCTCACACTCCAGTGTTCCAATTCACGTTTCTTCCTTTCACCACCTTTTTTTCTTTTAAATATAATTTTTAGTTTAGTTTCTCAGTCGTTTTGTTTACGTTTTCACAAGTACAACTTTCTCCCTCACTTTTTTTTTATCTTACGTTATAAATTCGTCATATAAAACTCATTTCAACGTCACCTGACGATTTCACTTAAGTTCCTTGTACATCTTTACATGTAGCTAACGTCAGTTCACCTCTTGCTCACATGTACAACTGATACCCTAAAACTGAATTGATAGTGATGGTGAAAATGTGAATATCACAATATCGTATCTGGGGACAAATCACAGCCAGCCCACGAAATCTGAAAAAAAAAAAATTAGGTATGTTTCGTTCTGCTCTGAACTAATATTTCTCCTTCAGAAAGAGCTGGAACTTGGTGGAAAATTTCTAGAGGTGTAATTTGTGAAGCTTATGAAAAGCAATGGAGTGATCTTTCATTATTAGGTTTAGTACATAAATTCATATGAGAGTGAATAGGGAATCTGTATGTCTAGTGATGTAAGTGTAATGGAAAATTTCCAGTGCTCACAGTGGTGAGTAAACACAAAATTTGTCACCAACAGAGTGTGTGTGTGTGTGTGTGTGTGTGTGTGTGTGTACTCGCCTATATGTGGTTGCAAGGCTCGATTCGTAGCTCCTGGCTACTAGGTCCTCTCTCTGCTCCTTGAGCTCTAATTAAAACTGCATAGATCCTGCCTCCACTACGTCACTTTCCAGACTATTCCATTTGCCCCTTTGCTCCGGGACTAGTCTTGTTGCAAACCTTTGCACGTTCTCTAATTTCCTTACGTGCTTCGCTAGGTGTGGGTTTCAAACTCGGGCTGCATTCTCCAATATAGGCCTAACGTACACGTTTTACAGGGTACTGTGTACAATGTGCACAGGGCCCTGCAGCATACGGGCTAGGCCCCCATATGCTGCAGCAGTTACTTGGTTGATGTGCGCCTCAGGAGATGTGCCTGGTGTTATACTCGCCCCAAGATCCTTTTCCTTGAGTGAGCCTTGTAGTCTCTACCCCCATAGACTACTCCGTCTGCGGTCTTCTTTGCCCTTCCCCGATCTTCATGGCTTTGCACTTGGTGGGGTTGAACTCCAAGAGCCAGTTTCTGGACCCGGCCTGTCCAGATCCCTTTGTAGTTCTGTCTGGTCCTCGTCTGACTGAATTCGTCTCCTTAACTTCACATAATCTGTAAACAGGGACACTTCTGAGTCTATACCTTCGGTCAAGTCGTTCACTTGTACTAGAAACAGCACGGGTCATAGGACTGACCCCTGTGGAACCCCACTCATCACAGGTGCCCACTCTGACACTTCATCACTTACCATGACTCGCTGTTGTCTTCCCTACAGATATTCCCTGATCCATTGCAGTGCCCTCCCTGTCATTCCTGCATGGTCCTCCAGCTTTTGCACTAATTTCTTGTGTGGAACTGTGCCAAACGCCTTCTAACAGTGTAAGAAAATGCAGTCTACCCATCCCTCTCTCTCTTGTCTTAATGCTGTCACCCTGTCATAGAACTCCAGTAGGTTTGTGACACCCGTGCTGGCTGTCGTTGATAAGCTCATTTCTTTCTAGGTTCTCCACCATTCTTCTCCTGATAATCTTCTCCAAGATTTTGCATCCTATACATGTCAGTGACACTGGTCTGTAGTTTAGTGTTTCATGTCTGTCTGCGTTTTTAAATATTGGGACTACATTTGCTGTCTTCCTCAGGTAGTCGCCCTGTTTCGATAGACGTGTTGAAGATTGTTGCTAGTGGTACACACAGCGCCTCTACTCCCTCTAAAAGGACCCATGGAGAGATATCCGGCCCCATCGCCTTTGAGGTATCCAGCTCGCTTAGCAGCCTCTTCACTTCTACCTCGGTTATGTATTGTCCAAAATTTCATGGTGTACCCCCACCTCTTCAACTTTCCGGAGTCCCTTCTGTCTCCTCTGTGAATACTTCTATGAAATTCATGTTGAGCTCCTCACATACTTCGCGGTCGTTTCTTGTGATCTCCCCTCCTTTCTCAGCCTGATTACGTAGTCCTTGGCTGTTACTTTTCTCCTGATATGGCTGTACAACATTTTCAGGTCAGATTTGCCTTTCGCTGTTATGTTATTTTCGTATTGTCGTTGGGATTCCCTTCAAACCTGTGCATATTTACTTCTGGTTCTACGACTGCTCTCCTTATTCTCCTGGGTCCTTTGCCTTGTGTACTTTTATTCCGTGTGTGTTGTGTGTGTGTGTGTGTGTGTGTGTGTGTGTGTGTGTGTGTTTGTAGCATATTACATATTGTAAGAAGTACAGAGACTGAGTCATAACTGATTACTACAGAATATTTGCCTTATGAAAAGTTTCCTATGCAAAGTGTTTCTTTACATAGCCATTATAAACTGTTCACTGCATAGTCCTTCATCCATCCATAAATATTTGACACTTTATTAAAGTGTTCTGAGTAATATCAGAACGACAGAGCACAATGTTACTGACATCTGATGTCATAGTTAATTAACACTTTCTAGCATTACTCAAGTATTCATCATTTATTTTTCTGAATCACTTCAGAATACTTAACTCAGAAAAAAAATGATCTTCATTACTTTAAGATGTTTAGTTTTTTTTTTTTATCCCCGAGAATTTTGTTATTTTTGAGGTGGTGAATCAGTGAAAATGTGAAAAACTAAATACGACTTATTCATTTGTACAATTACAGATTTTACAGGTTAATGTTCAACTTTCACGATGAATTTTAAGAGTACCTTACCTGGCTTATCTACAAGTTCCTCACATTTGTCACTTCACATATTCAAATCTTTCACAAAAGATGTCACTGAAATATTGTAAATTAACATTCTCAGCAGAGGACTGAAAAGGACACTGGCTGGCGAAAAGTTTCCAGAATAAAGATACATAAATGTTACTCAAGTGTCTCATTTATCAACTTATTTGTTTTCAAAAGCATTTATTCAGATTTATTTATAAAGAGAAATTTTAGTATTTAGATAATCTCGCTGCTAATTCCTTACTAAATCTCTTAATTTTAACAAAAGTGTGGGAGATGCAGATAGTCTCATGAGAATATATTCGCATGTAAGTGTATATGTGGGTTCATGACAGCTCATTTTCAAGTATGTGCCGTTCTTCAATATATAAATCCACATTTTACAGTGAGAGGTTGTGATTGTGGGTTGTGTGACTTATGTGCTCATGTTTGATACACAGGATTGTTTATTTGATGTTATGTATGTGAAAATACACATGTGTACCAGGATTTGTGAATCTTTGCGTGTTATGCAAATAAAAGCTGAGGAATAAGAGAAAAGAAATCTTACCCATATTTATTACAGTTTTTAGTGAGATGGGGAAGAAGATACACTTGTCTATATACACACAAAAATTGACAAATACACTTATACAGTCAGGAAACTACAAATAGTGTTTATTTAATACAGATTAATAGCATAACTTAAATAGTTGGTGAGTTAGATGCAAGTTTGGTCTCGTCTATCTGACCTACGGTCGAGATTGTCTTGGTGGGTGTAATTACTGGACGCAGTTTTCTGTGTCACCTCCGGTAATTTCGCCCACCTGGACAGTTTCCACCGTAGACCAGCTTGACAAGATAGTTTCCATCCAACAAGTTCATTGAGGGGTGGCAAAAACCGCTGACTTCGGGGTAGGGAAGCGGAGACTTCAGGGAGAAACTGGATGGATTTCTGGATACACGAATCTGGAGAAGGCGAGGTTATTGAGGCTGACCTTGGGGAAGTGGGAAAGGGAAGGCATCCGGAAACGAACGGATGAATTATTGGAAACATGATCCTGGGAATTACAAAAATACCGATTGATGAGGCAGAGCTTGGGGAAGGGGAGACATCGGTAGGTGGACGGTTGGATTCCTCGTTACATGAACCTGGGGAAGGCTGAAGCTGGAAGCCAGAGATAAGAACACTGAGAGGCGCGAGGCTGAACAGGGAAGTGACGAAGGGACGACATCTGGGGGCACCACCGATGGATTCCTGGACACACGAACCTAGTAAGGGAAGGCCCTGAAGACGAACCACTGGCATCCACGTGGCAGGGTCTAGTAATTAAGAGTTAACTCTGAGGCTGACACTGGTCGCAAATAATAATAAAACAATCATAAAAATAATAATACATTTAGGTAATTTCAGTTGCTTCTTATTGGTTTTGTCATACAGGGGAACAGATAAAGATATGCATACTCTTCCCAGCAGCTGGTACAGCCTCCACATTAGACCATCATGATATAAAAAAACTTACCAGCGCCGCACTAACGACAAGAAAAACTGAGAAAACAAAAAAAGTAACTTAGGACACGGAGTTCTCCCCTCACTGGTCGTACACTGCAGTGAACGGTGTTACAGTGCCCTGCTTCACTGGTCGTAAACTATGTACAGTGTTACACAGTACACTGCCTTCACTGCTCCTACACTGCTCTGGACAGTGTTACACAGTACCCTGCTTCACTGTTCCTACACTGCTGTGTACAGCGTTACACCCTGCCTTCATTGCCCCTATACTGCTGTGTACAGTGTTACACAGTACCCTGCTTCACTGCTCCTACTCTGCTGTGTACAGTGTTACATAGTACCTTGCCTTCACTGCTCCTACACTGCTGTGTACAGTGTTACACAGTACCCTGCCTTCACTTCTACACTGCTGTGTACAGTGTTACACAGTACCTTGCCTTCACTGCTCCTACACTGCTGTGTACAGTGTTACACAGTACCCTGCCTTCACTTCTACACTGCTGTGTACAGTGTTACACAGTACCCTGCCTTCACTTCTACACTGCTGTGTACAGTGTTACACAGTACCTTGCCTTCACTTCTACACTGCTGTGTACAGTGTTACACAGTACCTTGCCTTCACTGCTCCTACACTGCTGTGCACAGACTTACACAGGTTATGTTACCATGTGATAACTAGTGTATTTAATAACATGTAGGTGTCATTTTGTGACAATTATCGCAATGGTGTAGAGCATTATTTGACATTATTCCATTTCATTCATGAAATTTTAATACCTCCTACTCCACAGACTGTGACCTACGGGTTTAGCTCTTTTAACTGATTAAAATATAATTGTGAATAGTACCATTCTTCAACGGCCGATACATCGTATGAAATGACTGAAAAGTTTTATGGGCTTAGGCTGTGTAGGCACACTCAAGGGAGGGTCATTGACGCTGGTGAGGGGCTCTTGATCTAGGGAACTGGATCTGGGCTCCGATTCCCTGAATTGAGCCTGAATACCTTCCACCCCCCTGCCCCACGCGCTGCATAATCCTACGGGTTTAGCGCTCCCTCATTATAATAATGTGTAGGCACATATTTTGCTGGATTCCGTACAATAACTGAAAAATGCATCTTCCTGTCAGCTTTAAACTTTAATACTGATGTGTTTTTCTTCCATGGAAGCAGACACTCTTGTTATTAAGATTTGTTAGTTATGTGATAATTTTAATTACGATTTTTTTTTTTGTGAAATAATTGGAGCATGTTCCTTCTGATCACAAATAAGTCGGTGCTTAACTTTAAATTGATTTAACCCAAAATGACCAAATAATGTTATCTTAATTTTTTTTGTTTGTAACATCTGTGTGCCCTGTCACAGACGTCTACTGTGCGTCTGTGTGAGACGTACAGTAGACGTCTGTGTGAGACGTACAGTAGACGTCTGTGTGAGACGTACAGTAGACGTCTGTGTGAGACGTACAGTAGACGTCTGTGTGAGACGTACAGTAGACGTCTGTGTGAGACGTGCAGTAGACGTCTGTGTGAGACGTACAGTAGACGTCTGTGTGAGACGTACAGTAGACGTCGTGTGAGACGTGCAGTAGACGTCTGTGTGAGACGGTGCAGTTAGACGTCTGTGTGAGACGTGCAGTAGACGTCTGTGTGAGACGTGCAGTAGAGGGTCTGTGTGAGACGTGCAGTAGACGTCTGTGTGAGACGTGCAGTAGACGTCTGTGTGAGACGTGCAGTAGACGTCTGTGTGAGACGTGCAGTAGACGTCTGTGTGAGACGTGCAGTAGACGTCTGTGTGAGACGTGCAGTAGACGTCTGTGTGAGACGTGCAGTAGACGTCTGTGTGAGACACACAGTAGACGTCTGTGTTACAGTAGACGTCTGTGTGAGACACACTAGATACCTATATGAAACATACAGTAGACGCCTGTGAGAGACAGTAGACGTCTGTGAGACAGTAGACGTCAAGGTCAACTGATGTTCTACACAAGGTGATAAAACCGTTATAAACGTGGAAAGTCAAGAACACTCTTCTTTTCTTTTCCTTTTCCCTTCCATAACTGAAGGATATACCAGAAAAATTAAAAAAAAAATAAGAATTAAAATTTGAACAAATTTTGACATTGTTACAAGCAAAAAAAAATTCCTTAAAAAGTGACAGAAAAATGATGGCTTATTAGTTTAACTATTTCTTAATATTTCAAGTCGCTGCCGAACCTAATTACCCCCCAATCTCCCCTCCCCTATCTCATCCTCCCCATCCTCCCCTTTTTCCTTTCCTCCTCCTCCCCACCCCTCCCTTTTGCCCTTCCTTTTTTCGGCCTTTGGGATTTCTCCCACAGGCGCGCTAGTTCCTAGGTAGGGGAAAGGATACCGGGGTCCATCCCATTCCGTTGAGGTTCTTGGCGGTGGCGTAGTTTGCCGTGGAATCTGGATCGCCTGGGGATGTCCCGATCCCTCTCCGGTATCCCGGAGTAGCTTTGGGTATCTTTCGGGCGACGGGTGTATCTCTGGAAGCCACCTTTCGGATTCCGGGGGTGGTGGCCGAAGGAGGTATGCTTTGTGGCGGATATCCGGCCGCCCTCTCTTTTGTCCACCGAGGTAGCTCGGCAGATGTGAGGTTGCTATCCCGGATTGTTAGTTTACTAGCATGATGGGTAGGGTATGGCACGGGTTTCCATGCTGCATCTGCGCTACTTGCGGTGCTGAGGTCCTCTTGGGCGCGGAGGGAGATTTCTGGCCCTTTCATTCCTCCGAGGAACTATCCCTCCCCGGTCCCCCTTTTTTTTATTCTTTTTTTTATTTTTATTTTTTTTTTCTTCTTTTTTTTTTCTTAAAAACAAAAAGAAAGAAGTAACCTAACATGGCAGCCCTAGTCCATGAACTCCTACCCCCCTGCCCCTTCTTGATACCGCACCCCGTTCTGACCCCGCCTCGTCTTTGGACCACTCTTCAGACACTCCTCATGCCTCTGTACCTCTTGCCGGTGCTGTTTCCTCACCCGCTTCAGGTACTGAGGCTCGACTGACTCGTTCGATTTATCGGACCTTCGCTCTCCTCTGACTATGCTTCGGCCTCTCCCTCTACGGTGCGGCAATTTTCAAATCGCCGACCCGTTCCACGTCGGACCAACTCTGGTCCCACGCCTAAACGCCAACGACAATTACCTGCTGATGATACTTCTCCACCTTCTCGTTCTTCTCAGAAACGATCGACACGTCCTTCACTACCTTTCCACGCTCAGTTTCAGACTGAACAATGGACTAAATTCTTCACTTTACGACCGACTTCCTCTACTGCCTATCTTTCTGACCACAGTATTGGCAAGGCACTCCTACGCCATGTTGGTAAAGATATTTCTTTTCATGCTCTTAAGAGCGGTACGTGCATCATCACCGTACAGAATGCTACCCAGGTCATGAGCTCTCTCGTCTTTCCCATATCGATACTGTTCCTGTCACTCTTGAAAAACATCATTCCTCAATTCTTGTAGTGGTACCGTCATTCTGCCCCATACCATAGTTCAACAAAATTTCCAGACATGTGGCACTGACATTCTTGAACAGCTGGAACTCCAAGATCTCCCAATCCTCAAGGTAGACACTTACGTTCTTTC